ACACACACACACACACACACACATATATATATATATATATATATATATATATATATATATATATATATATATGCATGTTTCATTAAAACGACATAATTACATCGGCTACACAACCACATGTTTATCCAGACGTCTTACGTTACACCTATCTGATCACAGTTCCATCAGAACATATTTAAACACACACTCAGATTTACCCGACACTATTAGGAACATACTAGTAGAAAACACAAATATATTAACTGCATCCACTTGCAAAAAAAGACTAAAAATAATGGAAGCTCTAATAATAAAAAAGAAAAAGCCAACTCTTAACAATATTAACTATGAACAAAGCCACAATGTGCTAACCGTATTCGGAAACTAAAAATATCACTAACATACACAGAACACACACACTCTACTAAGCTGATAATCGAATCATCCTTGATAATGGCTAAAGGTATAGCCGAAAGCGCTCGGAAATACAGAACATTCGGACAGTTCTTACACACTCTTTGTCCAGAAAAGAAAGCTCTTGTCAGAACACAAGAAAAATTAAATAAAAAGCTCAACCGTAGTACCTTGTCTGTCGTTTTTAATGAAACATGCATAAAGGAAGGATTGCTGCCCAAATATAAATATATATATATATATATATATATATATATATATATATATATATATATATATGCAATTATTATATGTTATTTATATATTACATATACGCGGTACTTTATTAAAAAGCGCTCAATATCAGTAATAGAGCTGACATATTTATTTGGATTGAAGTGAATTTGTCACCGTCGGTTTCACGCTCTCTGCAATGTTGAACCTGGTCAGTACCTAGATGGGTGCCTACTTGGCAATACCAGATGCTGTAAACTTGGCTATGCAGGGTAGTGTAGTTGACAATGGCGAGGAATTGTCAATTGGACAGCCTAATTCCAATTCTCGTCGAGTTCATTATATTCACTTACGCGCAAATACCCTTGGGAAAGACATGAATCTACCCCTTCTCCTCTCAGCTATGGGTTAATTAGTAAGATCTGTATCACTAAATCATTATCTTATAACAAATCTTACAATCTAAAAATATCTTCTGGCTTTAAATAACCTGCAAAGTGTTGATAAGCCGTAGAAAACGAATCAATCAATCAATGAAAGACTGATTACCTACACAAGCATATCTTTTAGATTTATTTACATTCTCTGGAATATAAATGTATAGAAACTACCTTGGCCAAAAATGAGGGATCGGTTTATATATTGATTATAATGTAGAATTAATCCCCCACTTTATATCCTCATGATAATTTCTTGTTTGTTTATCAAATTCTGATTAGGTATGTCTTTATCTCTTCTCCCTCCTGCTGTGGGTTAATTAGTAAGACATCTACCATTATTATCTCAAAAAAATTCTTAGAATCTAAAAATATTTTCTAGCTTTAAATAATCTGCAAAGACGGAACTATCAGAAAATCAATAATACAAGAGATGTACAAATTCTTTAGAATAGCCACGAAGGTGAAACAATGGTGATATACCAGACAATGTATAAAACAGTTTCATAATAATAAAACAGTGCTCGAGGTATAATAATAAAGCTAAAATTTATATTTTTTTTATATTCTCTAAATGCTGAGAGATTCTTGATAAAATACAAAGAAGAATCCGAAATGTTATTAGTCCTTACCTGGCATCTCGGCTTCAGTTATTTTCCCACTGCTGTAACATAACTTCTCTGTGCCTTTTCTACAAATATTTTCATGGTAATTGTTCTGAGGAACTTTCTTCCATAGAACCTAGACTTTAGGAATTTAAGCGCAGTACTAGATTGGCAGCTAGGTCTCATCATTTTACAGTTGAAATGGCTAGATATAACCATAAGTTCTATGCTAACAGTTTCTTCTCTCGCGCTTCTCGTTTGTGGAATTCTCTTCCGGCTTCTGGCTTTCATGTCTCCTCAATAATATTCACTCATACTCAGTAACCCCTTACATCGTAGTTGCTTTGCTTGATCATCACCACCTTACATAAATTAGCCAATCAGCAGGTTGTCGATAAATGTGGCAACACCTCATAAAAACACCTACCTCTGTGTTAAAAATGCTTTTCTATGATATTTTATACTAAATTCAATATTTATTTCAATTCAAATAAATTAAAATTTATATCAGCTAATCTTTCTGAAATAATGTTTCAGAAAAGTATAGTTTATTTAGGAAAGATAACGAGAATTGTGTTGTGTTAATAGATTTGTCAATATGAATGATTTTATTAATTCTACTGATGCTCAGAAAAAATCATTCCAATCAATTTAAATTTGGCCTGAAATACAGCAAAGTATTTTGCTTATTAGAAATGTTCAATTTAATCTCTTAGCTTGGAATTAAAACTAAAATAAAAGCTCCAGCAAAGATTTTTTTTATTTGCAAAAATTCATTTTAAACCTTAGGAATCGCTTTTCTTTGGAAATACACATATTAATTTTTTACAGCTACAGGTTCTATATCAGCACCCCATAAAACACCCACTCCGATGTTAAAAATACTTTATGCAATATTATTAAACTATAAATTAAACTGTAAATCAGTTAATCTTCCTCAAATAAAGTTTCAGAAAACCTGTAATACTGGACCATACCGGACCAACGGCTGGTCCGGTGGAGTGCGTGGGTCCAGTGGGGTGAGGACACGGTGTTACAGTATACCTTTATCAAACTGCATGTCATGATGCGTGGTTTGGATCTTGTATGCTTGTATTCCGGCATCATTTTGTTAGTTTGCTTCTCTCTCAGAAAATAATAATAGATTGTTAGTGCCGATTATGAACAAAGATCTTTGTCAACATTTCTTTTTATACTGACAATGGAAGAATAATGTCTTCTTGAACCTTTAAAGAGTATAAAAATGTTTTAAAACAAAACTTATCTCTTTTAATCAACTAAAAGAATCTTTTACTTCTTCCATCAGTATGGCTGATGCTAACCTCCAGAAGAGTGACTCATTGTACCTTTTCAGGTTAACGTTTTCTGCTGGCATGTAGCAGAAACAATACTGAATTAGTTGCTAGGAAAGACAGAAATGCCACTAGTATGCAGAGGGTTGCAGGGAGTGAAAGAGAAAACTGAGAATAGGCAGGATTGAGGAAAAATGAACAAAGTTCAAGAAGACAGAAGATGACAAGTGTTGGGGTGCACCCACCTTCTCAAGAGAATGGACTGATCTCTCTACAATATAGGTCAGTGCTAGAGAGATCAGGGAGATCACGAGTTAAGGAGATCACGAGATCTAAGAGATCAGGTGACCATTGCACTTCCGTCTCTCGACCGGAAGATACCGTTGGACTTTAGACTCTTGCTAATTGTTATTACTAACCTGCGTTCGTTATTACTAATCCCTCTGTTGTTAAATAACTCTTCAAATATACTAGTATTTTTCCCTACATCTGTGTTTGTCTTTATTTGAATACACACACGCGGGAACACTCCCAACATCTTAACAACAAGTGAAAAGGGGGAGAAGAGAACGAGAAAAATATCACAGAATATTTATAGTCCGGAGAACGTCCCCTAGTAGCAGTTTTGAAAATTAGGAGGAGGTAACTCAGCAGCTCCTTACTACCTTGTCTGATCTAGAAACTTTGCTTAAATACCCTCCAAAGGGATCACAAAGCATGTTTTTTGTTGTTGGCAGGAACGTGACCTGTTGGTTGAAAAATGTTAAATATTTATTTTTCAAAGCATTAATTTATTAACTGTAAGGATATGCATATCCTCCGACTCAGAAACTATTTTTTTGTTTGACTGTCTTGGGTTTTATTTCCAACTTTGCTCCATAATTTTCTTTGGCTCCTGTTATAGTTTTCTTTTGTTTTTGTTAGGGTTTTGATAATTTTAAATAATAGCTCATCTCAAAATTAAAGCCTTATTTTATTGGAAAATGTATTCTTCTAATTTCTTTTTTATTGTAAGGTCTGTTAATTCTCCTCTTGTCATTGTGAGTTTTATCAACAGAAGTAATATCAGTAAAATGTTTTTAATTGGATGGCATCAGACATTTAATAGTGCCAACCCAACACAAATACATCAGTGCAAAGGGATACTAATTAAAAACACTTTATTTACAACACTATGCTGTTAGTATAGCTATCCAATCTTGGCTAATGTCAACCAGGGAGAACTAAACATCCAATAAAGTAATTGTTAGACTGGGATCCTTGAACTGGGGACTCAAAAGAAGAGAAAGAAAATTGCTGTAATTATAAATTATTTTCCTATTTTGATTATAATTTGAATATAGCAGCTGATACATTTTGTGCTAAAACCAACAAAAGTGACTACAAACAAACATGGATTCCTGATAAGAACTGCAAAATTTTAACTTTGAACAGATTTTTTTCAAAAAGGATTTTTTATTGCAGTATTATTGGATCACTCAAACTGACATCATGCCACACTATATATTTTTTTTATTTTCAAATAAGCTTACCTGCTATTGTCAAATTTGCCAGGTAAGTATTTCTGATAAGCTTTTATTGTCTCCTTGTAAATCTCGCCTTACGTGCAGGTAAAAGTCAAGCTTCAATTTACACATTTCATGACAAGCAAAAAGGTTTTCTACACCAGGACATCAAGGAGGTTATGGGCCAAGTTCTTTGCTTAAATACTCTTCAAAGGGGTCATAAAGCATTTTTTTTTTTATTATTCTTGGCAGGAATGCGATCCGTTTGTTGAAAAATGTTAAATGTTTATTTTCAAAGTATTAATTTATTAACCGGAACGATGCGTTAATCCTTTGACTCAGAAACCATTTTTTTAGTATTTACTGTTCGATTGTTTTGTTGTTTATTTCCGTCTTGGCTCCACAGGGAGGTAACTAGTTGATATGTAGTCCTTTTTCTAGCTTTCCTTTATAGCGGGTCAATGTGGTCTTGAAGCTTTTCATCTTCTTTTAACACAGTAAATAACAACAACATAATAACAATCAATTTACTTTTATTAAAATATTTTGTTTCAGGGACAACCTTTAACGAATACACATATGAAACGTGCAAAAATGCTTGTAGGAAAAACTGTCGAACTTTTTTCTATGATCGGGAAAATAAGGACTGCACATTGACTTTCAAATACACCGGCTCCAAAGCTGTAAGTATTTTTATTATTTTTCTGTCTAAAAATTGGTGAGCATGTTGGGGATGTGCAGAATTAATTAATTTGTAATTGAGTGAATCAGAAGGAATTTGTGTAGGTTGCGTGACTTTCTGCATCCACAAACAAATAAATAAACGAATTTTAAATACAATCAAAAACAAGACATATTCAATTTAGAAACCAACCAAACATTTATATACAATTAAAAGTAATATATATACAGGATATTTTGGTATATGTTACTATGGCAAAGTGTGTGTGATATTTGAGTTTTCGGTATGTCTCTTTTTGTATTTGTATGTTCAATTAGAGTCATTTTGGAGTTGTGTTAATTTAATTAACATTAAAAATGTCGATGTTAAGTGTTTTTAGGAATGAGTTCTTATAGAGTGGTCTACCTTTGACTGTAATATTTCTGAATCGTTCGAATGTTGATTTTTACTTAATAATGTAGTGAGTATAGTTAACTTTTGATAAGCAAAGTTGTTTGAGGTTTGCGATTTGATGTCCACAGAGTTGGTCGAGTTTAAATTGCAAGTGAGTTGGCGTTGATGTACTTTTGCGCGGTAAAATCGTGATTTCGAGTGACGTGGAGTATGTTGGCAATTTCTCTGTGGATGTTCGTCTCTGACCCTTTTGGTCAGTCGGTATTTTCTTTTATATATTTTTGAAAGTCCAAAATCGGCTCAAAGAAGTTTTGGCGCAATTTCGTTTTGCACGTGAAACTTTCAGATTATTATGTCTTTAACCAATGAGATTTGTTGATTCGCCGAGTACGGTTTTTTATTGGTCGAAGTTTTCCGTACGTAAGCGTAAGGTATAGACTGTTCTGTTACTAGGGGTGATAGGTAGAAAAGGACGAGTCTACAAACACTAAGTGAAATATTTCTCTATAGTTGCATATGGCTTAGTGGTTAAAATGAACAATTGATTTGCCCAGGCCCAAAAGATTAATGATGAATGGTAATGACGAAGAAATACACGGGTAAAACAAAACAAGATAAGGAATTTATTTACAAACTAGCCTAGAAGTAGCCCTTCGCGGGGGGTTTTAGGCTAGCTTCTGCAGAAGGTTTTGGGCCTTTGGCCTTTGACCTTCAGCATCCTATGTACGTAAAAGTTATGAGAATTTAGAAATAATAAAATTATTCTATCCTTATTCGACACCTTAATTAGGCATAATCTTTCTTCATATATGTAAACGATCTCTATAGTTTGTTAACATTTATTTTGTGCGAAATCTTTATTTTCTTTTAAAAGACACCATTCTTTATAATCCTTTAGGGAACTCAAATATTTCGAATATATCACCGGACGCGGGCTAGAAAAAGAAAAAAAAAACATATGAGCAACGTACCGTGCCCTGCTTAAGTTTTAATTGCAGTTTAATTTAGACGATATCATTTGCAATTGCGACGAAAAGCGAAATTAAAGTTAAGCCTTTAATAAAGAATAGTTTTTTAAACCTTTCACTCTTTTCGATATTTAAATTTAACTTTAAATGAGTTATTTATTTAATTTTTAAACGCGTGTAACTACAGTAGTTACAACCTGCTACATTCACCGAGGTCGAAAAACGGACGCACACACGTACACCTCACTTTATTATTATAGATTTACATGTGCGGAGTTATGTCAGCATCTCGTTTCAGGAAAATAAATCAGAAATTTTTAAACTCCGTAGTTTTAACCAATTGTCATGAAGTGGAAATGTTCATGCAACAGAACAGATTGAATGACCTGACACAAAATAATATTGAAACTGTTTACAAGAAAAGTAAGAGAGTTCATTGCTCACATAAGAGATATACAATTTGCATACGTTCAAAAGTAGATGAAGAGACATAGTTTAAAATACTTACATTTCTTGGACTATTTAAGGAAAATTCTTTGAAGTGACGCGTGCTTGGTTAAAAGGTTGATATTATGATTAACGAGTAACTTGACACTGGTGAAAACTTCAACGCTGGATGTGGTGAACAGAAATGGCACCTTTCACATGACTTAAGACACTCTTATTAATTTTTCTCCTCATTCTACATCAAAAGAAAATTTCGCATAGCCTCGTGACTTTTTGTTTTTTCTTCTTCTTAGCTCAACAGCTAATTTCTGTGAAGACAAGATTTTCATTGATCCAAAACAATTTTGAATAAACTTGTAAATTTATTTCCTCCTTTTTTTCAGTTCGCTAGTCATTTTCTGTGAAGGCGTGGTTTTCATTGATCCAAAACAATTTCACAAAGGTTCGCAAATTTATCTCCAACTTCTCAATCCTTCGAAACTGAAGGAATTGGTTAACGGGAATTATTATTATTTGGCACTCACTCTTCTACGAAAATCCCAGGAATGAATCCGTGTCAATCGACAGAATTTGTTTCTATTTTGTAAGTATTCTTATTAATTTTAACATTCTCTCTGACTTTAATTCTAATTGGCGAATAAAAATATGCCTCCTCTTTTATGATAACCGGAATTAATCCTTGTTAATCAGTACATAAAAATGTCTCCCGTCTTATTTGTTTATATTTCTTGACTAATAGACGAAAACCAATATTTCAGCCATTTATATTGAATCAATCCATTTGGTCTTTGATAATGAGATGGAGAGAGATAAAATCTCTCTCTTTCTCTCTCCATCTCTCTCTCTCTCTCTCTTTCTCTCTCTCTTTCTCTCCCCATCTCTCGCTTTCTCCCTCCATTCTCTCTCTTTCTCTCTCCATCTCTCTCTTTCTCCCTCCATCTCTCTCTTTCTCTCTCCATCTCTCTCTCCCCATCTCTCTCTTTCTCCCTCTATCTCTCTCTCTCTTTCTCTCCCCATCTCTCTCTTTCTCCCTCCCTCCATCTCTCTCTCTCTTTCACTCTCCATCTCTCTCTCTCTTTCTCTCTCCATCTCTTTCTCTTCTATTTCTAGTCTTTTTCTACCCACTACCGTTGTGTGTGTTTGTATGTGTGTGTGTCGTATATTTTATGTTTTGCATCCAATATGCATAAATATATTCTTTGGTTGCCAATTAATCTTTCTAAATTTGAAATGATGACTTTTCATTTAGTGAATTAATATGTCGTATTGTCATCGGCAACAAAAATGTTCAGCTATGGCTCCTCTTTCTGGAATGAAACTTAGAACTTTTTGAACAACCCTCGTACTTAAGGAAATAAAATAATTATATTAATTTTTTCCCTATTTATTATCAATTCTCTTAATAGTAATGGTGAAAATAACCGTTTCCATTCAGGAAACATTCGTCATACATTTTGCAAACAATTAACATAATTTGTCTATATTTCTGAGATGAGGTATTATGTACATTATTTACATTATTTGGACCATTGTCCGAAATCTTTGTCGCCACATTTATCACAACGTTTCGGCCGCTGTACGCTCCAGCCTTTTTCAGGTGGTTGGAATGTCGAACTGAACCCTTTATTTCACTCACTGGGGTAGACTGTTCTAGTTCCACGTGCCATGTTTGATGGATGTCAGTTATCAGTTATCTCCTGCTAATTTCCCTCTGAAAGTTCTCCACTGCCTTAACCGGGTATTGAACTCACACTCTTTGGGTTCTGTCACTGGATCTAACCAACGCCTTTATCCACTGTGCCATGTGTCCTTGAGGTAAATTAGCAGGAGATAATTGATAACTGACATCCATCAAACATGGTACATGGAATTAGAACAGTCTACCCCAGTGAGCGAAATAAAAGGTTCAGTATGAAATTCCAACCACCTGAAGAAGGACGGAGCGTACAACGGCCGAAACGTTGTGATAAATATGGCGACAAAGATTTCAGACAATAGTCTGAATAATGTAAATAATTAACATAATTGTTTAGAAAATGGTCAATTGTAATTTATAAAAATTACCTTCATACTCACAATAAAACGGAGTTTCAAGAGGGACCTTTTTCCTATGACACTACTTTTTTTTATATATCTTCACTCTTTGGCAATGTTTATAGTTTTAAAAAAATGCTTAGAATTGTAATAAAACTTAAACATGTGAAAGTGAATTTATACATTTTCTCTGTTCTCTGTTGAATTGAAAACAAAAATAATAAACATTATTTATCTATTAGATTGTTTATTGGAAAGGTTGGCAAAACATCGGCTAAGTCAATTGACTCAAAACTTTATGGTAAATAATAAGGATTTCCTTATAGTTGGTTCACATATTTTAATAATTTAGTAAATGTTTATAAATTTATGAATAAAAAATTGTTTTCATATTTATTTCTTTATAAATTGGTATATGATAAATATTACATTAGTTCGAATTGTATTAGTTTTTAAAATGTTGTAAATATTAAATTGTTCTTGTAAATAAACAATCTAATAAATAAATAGTGTTTAATATTTTTGTTGTAAATTCTAAAAAAAAAAAAATACACTATCATCTGCTTAAGTTTTATTGATATTCTAATTCTTGCTTTTTAAAACAATGAACATTACCGAAGGGTGAAGGTAGTTAAAATAAAAGTGGTGTCATGCAAAAAACTGTCCTTTTGACATTTCGTTTTTTTTTTTTTTGTGGGCACAAAGGTTCATGTTTGCCAAGTCTTATTTTTAAAACTGTTTTTAGGGAAAATAAACTTCTTAGATCCACTAACTGTAATAGCTCTTTCTAGTACTGATGGAAATTAGCTTCCAAATCTTTTGTTTAAAATAAAAAATCAACATCGTGATATCATTATTTTCCCTTCTCGTTACATGTGCTATGCATTTTAGTTCTTGCTGCTGTTGGGAGTCTTCAAGTGATGTGGATTTTGTTATTCAGTACAGACCTGTGTGATTTTATAATGCCAGTCTATAGACCTAAAGGATTCATTTGCTTGAAGACATTTTTAATCATTGATCTGAGAAAACCATTGTAGATAAATAATAAACTGTTTCATGAGATAATGATATATATTTTTATATATCAAGAACAGTATTGAGGAAATAGTATGACAAAGTGGAAAAAAATTTAGGACTTCATCGGGGACTAAATTTGTTATGTTGGTAGGACTCCACATGCACTCGGCATCTGCCAGGTGATCTACAATAAATTTACGCCTTGGCTCTTACAACATTTTACCATTCCTGGAAGATCTTCTAATATCACAATTTGGAATACTTACTTACAAAATGATGGAAAGAAAAAGGAAAAAGACTCTAAATGAATTTGGCTGATAAAAAAAAAGAAATTCTCAGCACCCCCTCCATTGTGCGCATGTGTAGTTCTACCAACGTAACAAATTTAGTCCCTAATGAAGTTTTAAAGGACAAAACTCATCAGAAATAAACTTGTTCCACTTTGTCATACAATTTCCCCAAACTGTTTTGTATAATAAACTGTTTTAATAAGACTAAATGAATAGATAAATGTCATCAATTTTGAAAACCTGGAAAAAAAAACTAATAAAAATAATCAATGTTCTGTCTATATCTCTGAGATGAGGTATTATGATCACTTACATTATTTACATTATTCAGACTGTTATCCTCATCTTCATTGCTATATTCACAACGTTTTGGCCATTGTATGCTCCAGCCTTCTTCAGGTGATTGGAATTTCAAACCAAACCATTTATTTTATCCACCGGGGTAGAGTGTTCTAGTTCCACATGCCACATCCTCACATGGCCCAGTGGATAAAGATGTTGGTTAGTTCCAATGACTAAACCCAAAGAGTTGTGAGTTCAATACCTGGCAACAGCAGTGGTGGACCAAACTGGGAGAGTTGAATTAAGGGGAAATAACTGAGACATTTGGAAGAGGCATGGCACGTGGAACTAGAACAATCTACCCCAGTGAACAAAATAAAGGGTTTGGTTCGAAATTCCAATCCCCTGAAGAAGTCTGGAGTGTACAATGGCTGAAACGTTGTGAATATGGGAATGAAGATGAGATTAACAGTGGAAATAATGTATGTAATCAATGTGCCATATTGTTTTATATTTAACTGTATATGTATATATTTCACCTTTGTATGTAAATTTCTTGCATAAATTAAAAGAAAGAAAAGGCTTCCGTCTTGCCATTTAAAAAAGAATGATCAATCCTCATGGATTCTTTAAAGAAAAACTTATTTCAGTGATTCCTCGTTTATCGTGGTAGATTGGTTCTGAGACCGGCCGCGATAACTGAATTTCTACGAAGTAGGATCGCCATATTTACAGTATTTATTTAACGTGTATTTTGGACTTTTAAAACCCTCCCTGTACTGTTAACAACCCACCCATTACAGTACTCTATTAATAACAAGGACAACTATTAAACAAAAACACCTTAGATTAAAAAATACAGATTGTTACTGTATTCAACACAAAAGAAGTTGAAGTAGAATTTGAATGATGATGGTGATGAATTTGTTGTGCAGTAGAAATGATGATGATGAAGCTGATGATGACTTCTTCTGTGCAGCCGATAATTGTATTTTACGTCTGTTCAGACAGCAGTGCTCTTTCTATTGGTATTTTGCACTTGTTTTGTTGTTCCTAGACCAGGAAATAATATTTATTATTAATATTTTAATGGGGTTAATGAAAAATTTTAGGTGTTCATATATCGCAATTTTTCTAGAATTTTCCAGAAACTCTGTGATATATTTTCCATTATATATTTTAAAAATCCGCGAAGTCGTGAATCAGCAATAGTAGAACCGGCAATTAGCAAGGGATCACTGTAGTAATTGATCTTTAGCAGTTCACACAACATTATCAATCATTCAATCTGCTGTGTGTGTGTTTGTGTGCTTGTGTCTGTGTATATCCAATTACATGTATATATACATATGTTTATTTTATTTTTCAGATATATATTACAAAACCTCCCCTCTAGCTTTCTCTTTTATAGAAATAGTTCTGGCTCTTATTTCTGATGCTGCAACATTTTTGACTGATTAATTCTCCAGCCTTCCTCAGGCAAATTTTCTATTTTTTGCTTCTCTTCTTTAAAATGATGTCAACCATTCTAACAAATTATTTTCAAGAACAGTCTGAAAAGTTCACCTCACGAAGCCTGGAGAATTAACCAGTTGAAACACTGTGATGCCAACAACAACCCCACAAAATGTGGACATTTATCTGAAAAAGGACTTTGAAATGATGACCGTGTGGTATTTTAAACAATGTAAACCAATTTACAACAGATGGCGTCTTTATTGAAATTTTGAGCACAATAAAATATCATTGCCTTGTGATGACTTCTTGCTTGATTTTCATCTAACAACACTCCACCACCTTGTGCCAGACACTAGTATTCAAGACTAGGTAAAAGTCATAGTTTGAATGCTGATTTTGAAGGTTAGAAAGCTTTTCCCATTTCAAATTCTGGTGCTACATAATCTTTCTAATTTGATTACTTCTTTTGTCTGTATTTGCTTGTATTTTAATAGGAGTGGATAGGATCACTTATCACCCTGCCTGTGTAGTATTTTCATGCTTACTGAACAGGAGTAGAGGTCTATCCTTTGTTTTCTATTTTGGATGTAGCTTACCAGCTCCTTTCTTTCATCAAATTAATGATTTAACTGTCTTAAACCTTTGGCAATCTAACTGATCAGTGACTGCAACTTGGCAGTTTTTCTAGTTGCTTCATCCTGACTGGTAGCAAGATGGCCTGACTCTTTGGTAACACTTAGAAAGGCTGATCTGGTCAGCAATTTCATAATATTTGGGTATTTGCAGTGCCATGTTGTGCATAGATAGGTATCCTTGCATATACTTCCAGTGGCCAACCCTGAGGCCAAATTATGGTTTTAGTCTTAGCCTACTTCCAGCCAGTTTGCATTGTCATAGATGATGGACAGTGATAAATATTTTGGTTTTTTCTCCTTAAAAATTAAAATAATTTTCTTTGACAATTAAAAGAAATACAAATAAACCAATAAAGAAAAAAACCACCTACCCACTTCAACCTTTCTTTCTCCAATATTCATGGTATGTGTAC